CTGTAGGTATAGTGGGAGGGTGTCACAGGTGGCTTAACCTAGTCTAGAGGTCAGTGAAGGTTGCCCTGAGGAAGTGACGTTAGTTAGACAAAAAAGCAGGGAAGAAGAAAAAGATCCTCCCAGGCACAGTGAAGAGAATATGAAAGAACTCTGATCAAGCAAAAAGTATATGTTGAAGAACTGCGAGAACTGGTAAGGCTTGGAGGCCGGGGGAGAGTGGGAAGATGAGAGCGGAGAGGAGGCAGGAGCGAAAGCATGCCGAGGACTGCTTGCTCGGGCAGCTCCGGAGCTAAAATCACGCTGAAGAGTTTGGACTTCCTCCCAAGAGCAATGGGGAGCCATTGATGGGTGTTAAGTGAGTGACGTAATCAGATTTGAGTTCCAAGATTACTCCGAGTAGGTCAGAGGGGAAGAAAGAGAGTGTGTGGAAGGCAGGGATGATGGTAGCTTGGACCAGAGGCTGGCAGTTTTGTAAAACTCTCCATGTTAGACTGGGGTCCCTGTCAGGCTCACAAAATGCTTTTTCTCCTGGAGTTTAGTGATTTATTAATGCATGAAGGAACTTTCTGTTCTCAAAACCTCAAAACCATTGCTTTCACATAGCCACATGAGGCAGATTGGGAGCTGATGGGCAAAGGGCAGCAGAAAGTTGTAAAACGGAAAATCACAAAGGGCCAGTCCTCCACTGGAATTCTGAGCCTGAGTCTGCTAGTTCCCAGATCCTTCCAGTGCCCTACGAAGGATCATATACTGATGCACTCAGCAGAGAAAATGAGACCCAGAAAAGCTGAGTTTGCCTAGAATTGGGTCATAGGCCATAAAAGTATAGTGTGAAGAAATGGGCTTCTGGATGGAATTCTTTTTATATATGAGACAAAAGTATTTTAATTTATGATTACCTTAAAGAGAAGGTTCATTTAGAGAGTTTGAGCTGTAAGCTATACTGTTAGTACCTTTTGTGCTAAGTGGGATGACAAACCTCTCATCTCCTTCTGGGTTCAAAACATAGTAGTCATCAATTAATCAATCATCAAGCATTTTACTGAGCTACTACATGAAAAAGGGCATTAGGAATACAATGATGAATTAAAATATACACAAATCTTGTTTACATAGAGTTTCCAGTTCAGAGTAGAAGCTGGGAGTCTAGACATGAGTCAAATGATCACACCAATTTAAAACTGCAGCTGTGATAAGTTCAACACACACACACAAAAGTTATATGTACTATGCGGGCTTATGAAAGGAGTTAGGGAAGTGATGACTGAAGTGAGAGCAGAAGAATAAATACAAGCTAAATGGCTGAAGGAGGATGGAAGAATAGTGATAAAATGAATTAACAGATATAGACTACTTGCCAGGTGCCAAGGGTCATGATAGGTAACTGAGATACACAGATGAATGAAACTTTGTCTGCAATTTAGTGAAAATAGCATGGGCTTAATCTTGCAAATTGCTAGTTGTGAGAATTTGGTTGTTACTTTAACTATCTGAACTTCGGTGCCCTAATCCATAAAATAAGAAAATAACATATGTCTTGTAGGATTATCGTGAGGATTAAAAAAGACCTCAGCTCACTGCCTGGCACATAAGTAGGAAATTGTGTAACAACCAGACCAAGGGAGTCAGTATGATGTAGTGTCAGAAGCAGTGGTGAAAAGCCAAATGGTCTTTGAGCAAATTGTCTGAGTTTGAATCTCAAGTCCAACATTTACTAGTCCTTTGACTTTGGGCAAATAACAAACTTCTTAGTCTTCAGTCTCTCCATGTAAAAGGAAGATAATAGAAATATCTATCTCTGGGTTCTTGGGAGGATTAAAGGAGATAATGCATGGAAAGTGTGAAAGATTGCTTAAATAAATATCTAGACTACATATTTTGTAAATACAAGGTGCTATATGAGCACAGATAAACAAGAACTTAATTATTTTTGTTGTTATTGTTCTAGGTAGGAGGATGAAGCTAGGAAAAGCCCAAAGACTTCACGTAGAAAGTCTTGATCTAGGTCTTAAAAAATGAATAGGTGTAGGACAGACAGGATGGACAAACTTGCCTTGTTCAAGACATAGAACTGCAAATTGCTATTGTGAGAATTGCCAGGCTTTTGAAGATTCAACGAGAATATTTTTTAAAGGCTGGTGGGTTCCTTCTAATAAACATCTTTATTCCATAAACCCTTCACTGCCTGCCATGAGCTGAAGGCAGGATGGGGTGGTAGATCACAGCATGGGCTTTGAAATCAGATAGACGTGGGTTCTAATCCAATCCCTATTGCTTCCAGCCATGTGTTCTCATGCAGTTACTTCTCTGAGCTTCAGTTTACTGATCTTTAAAAGGAACTAATAGGAAGTTATAATACCGCCCTCATCAGGAAGGTATTATGAAAATTAAACAAGTTAATTCAGGTAAAGACTAAGTACCATGTTTGGCATATTTGATAAGTATTTAATAAATGTTGTTATTATTGCTGATGTTTCATTAAGGTTATACTGGCATAAAACATTAGAATTTGTTCAGTACATAAAGCAATTATATTAAACACAAAGGTATGTCATCTCACCTACTCAACAGTGGGGTATCCAAAGATATATCATGAACAACCAGGTGGCGATGATAGCAGGTATGTATTTTGTGACTCCACTGTATATAGCAGGCCTTCAATAAATGTTGAATAAATAAATAAATTACTGATTTATTTTGCTGATTTTAAAGTAAAGTTTTTTCTGCTTATAAACATAATGTGTGTTTCTGTAGACAATTTATAATTAAAAAAACACACCTGTGATTTTATCACCAACAGGACAAACATTGCTAGTATTTTGATATATTTTTTCTGTAGTATGTATGCACATTTGTGTGTACATATATGATATATATGGGAAATCATAGTATTTAAATAAATATAGGCATAAAAAAAACACACCTGTGATTTTATCACCAACAGGACAAACATTGCTAGTATTTTGATATATTTTTTCTGTAGTATGTATGAACATTTGTGTGTACATATATGATATATATGGGAAATCATAGTATTTAAATAAATATAGGCATATTTAACTTTAATCATACCATATAAAAGCCTTTCCCATTTTTCATATGAGCATTTGCCCTGTTTTATTAAATACACTTCACAAACATGATTTATACGTTGCATAACATTCTATAAGGATGTGCCATATAGTTTATTTAACCATTACCATGTTGTTAGACCTCTAGTTTGTGTCAAAACTAATTCATATTCAAATATAAGTTATTTGTTATTATATTCACTGAGTTTTTAACATTTGGGGGTTGTAAACAACTTGAAAACCTAATTATTAAAAAAAAAACCTCTGTATTATCTTTCTTCATAGAAGAAAATTACAAACTCATATTTATGTAAAATATTGCCTACAATTTCAAGAGGTTTATAAACCCATGAAGCCCATCCATGGATTCCTGTCCCCAGAGCTTCAGGTCAGAACTAATCATCTAAAATATAATAATATGAAGCAGAATAAAAAAAAGTGCAAAGATTTTACTGTACCAATTGTGGAGAAGTATAATTTCTAAAATACTGCTGACTACAGTAATGTGTCCAATCCCAGTTCATTCTTATATTTTAAATAGTTCAAGTTTTAGATTCCACATTAACACTTCGCTACAACTTTCACTGAATAATAATGTTTTATGTGATGTATCTTTATTATCCTCACTGATGGAAAGTCACTGCAGGACTCCCAATGCAAGACTTTTCTTCACTGTGCGGTCTTGCATCCTGGAGACCTATGACATTTGTATTAGTTAGTTTTGTGTTGCTATAACAGAATAACCGAGACTGGGTAATTTATAAAGAACAATAATTTATTGATTTATTTGGCTCATGATTCTGGGACAGCTGCATCTGGCATGGGCCTCGGGCTGCTTCTACTCATGGCAGAAAGCATCATGCAGTCAGCAGCTACAAGCAGATCACATGGCGAGAAGAAGCAAAAGAGAGGGAGGGGAGGTGCCCCAGGGTCTTTTCAAACAACCAGCTCTCGCAGTGAGAACTCACTCACTACCCCCTCCCCCAGGGAGAACGTTAATCCATTCATGAGTGATCCACCCCCATGACTCAAACAGCTCCCAACTCTGCCACATTGGGGATCAGATTTCCACATGAGTTTGGGGGGGATAATAACATCCAAACTCTATCAGCATTACTGGGTCTACTCCTGTTACCCCTCCCCTCTGTTGCTCCTAATTGTCTTACATACCATTTCATTTTGAGCCAACATGCAGCACGACTCAGTATTGGATAATACAGTTACTTAAAGGAAAGAGAGCATTTCATAATAGTACCAAAAATAAATTCAACAAATTTAAAATGTAATACGGCATGAAGACTGATAAACATAAAAGGTATGTATTCACGGTATTGAGTCAGGTTCATTGTAATCTTAGGGTGCAAGGTTTTAACTTGGCCCTTGTGTAGTTAATAGTACCAAAAATAAATTCAACAAATTTAAAATGTAATACGGCATGAAGACTGATAAACATAAAAGGTATGTATTCACAGTATTGAGTCAGGTTCATTGTAATCTTAGGGTGCAAGGTTTTAACTTGGCCCTTGTGTAGTTCTAACCAAAGAGGACCATAATCTTTATTATCTTAATTGTATGCTTTGTCTGATATACAATTTACAATAATGAGGCTGATTTTACATACCAATTTGTACAGCTTCTAAAGAATTCTAATAGGTTCTCAATATGAAACAAACAAAAAAATTGTTATGTGTATTTTGTTTGTTGTTTTCATCTGTTTGCTGCTGAAGATAGAACAATTACCGATGTAAAAGCTGGGATGTGAAAGAGCGTGTATCTATGTTTGCACATTTCTATGTGCATGTTTATGCCCGCGTGTGTTATAAAAGTTGTACATTATCATTAGGTTCCAAAGAATGATGGAAAAGGAAGATTTTGAAAACAATTCTAAGAATAATTTATAGTAAAGCCACTGCTTTTTCTCCCTCCTAGCTACATCATCCCTCCCAAGGCTTCCGGTTTGGAACTGTCCGAGAAAGCAGTGCTGAAGATTATGTGAGGCAAAGCTTCCCAGAGATGCATGAGTATATGAGAAGATACAATGTGCCAGCCACCCCCGATGGAGTGGAGTATCTGAAGTGAGTGTCAACCTCTTGGATCCGAAAAGTGCTCAATGAAAAAGAAGTCATTTAGCTACTGATGTAGTGTTTGTTGGTTTTTAAAAATGACAGATAAATATACCCACTGTGTGTTCAGTAATACCTCACACTGTGTGAGATCCAGGAGGCAGTATGAAATAGTGTGCATTTAATTATGTGTCCTAGATTACTAGCTACCTGCATAGTCTCAAGTTGGCAGTAGTTTTGCTCAAAGAGACAGTGGGATCGTTAGTGTAGCAGATGGTGGGAGAAGCAAATGCTGGCTTGATATCACTTGAGAAAACAATGGTGCTGAAATGATCAAACATGCAGAGAATGTGGCCAGAGGATAAAGTGTCCCAAAGCAACCCTTTCTTTCACAGGGAATCTCTAAGCCCATGGAATGCCTCCTCTTACAACAAGGAAATGGAATTTATCTTAGAGACTTCCTGTAGAAAGGAAATAAGATAGAAGGCAATGATTCCCATGCCTGCACCCTTCTCATCAGAATTTATGAGAAGCAATCAAGAGCAATCACATTGCCATGGCAGATTACCAGAGCCTGTAATTCAGTGAAGCTGACTGCAAAGGAGGACAGTGCTGGGTCTGCTCGTCTAGTCTGCCTGGGAAAAGGGAATGAATGGTTCCTGATAAGTACCAGTGCATGAGCGTGAGCAGTCCTCTCCCTCCTGCCCAGTGGGGTTAGGAAAATAACCACATGCAAACCTCCAATCCCTAGAATTGTGCAGCACTAGGTAACTGGTTTCTCCCTAATCAGCTGCAATAATCTTCCCCATAAACAGCAGGACCTGCCATCTTAAATTCTTTCTTAAGAAAGAAGGGAAAAAAATAAATCATTTCATGGGACACAAGGGCTGTCAGTTTCTCAAGAGCTCTAGTAATAAGCCCCTTAAACAATTTTATGGACTTTTCACCAGAGCTTAGAGAGAAAGCCTTGTGCCCGCGGATTTGCAAAAGTATACATGATGTTTACGTACTATGAAATGGGACTTTTAATTTTGCAAGAACACCAAAACATCAGAGTCCCTCTCTGACACAGAATTTAGAGCTCTTTTGCCTCTCAGATCTTCTGTATTCTCTCCTTTAGGCATGTTCATGGTTGAGAGAGAAAATAAGATGTCAGGGAGATAGCAATGGCTCCCAGCTAGGTAGTAATGGGCTGTGCTGGTAGCCTGGAAAGGATGAGATGAGCCATCACTGCAGGCCCCAGCAGCTCCACTCCACTCAGGGCATTCATTTGTTTTGTAAGCTGTACCTGAGAAGGCCCCATTCCCAGAGCTGGCCCCACGCTAGCCTGGAAAGAAGAAATCATTAGAAAAGGGGGCACAGAAGGAGAAGGCCCAAAAGAAGTAGATTTTCCATGATAACACAGCTAGCAGTCAGGACTAGAACCCGTTCTCTGGAATCTAACTACTGCTTTAGGATAGTCTAGGAACCATAATAGAAGAGCAGGTCCTTGAGGTTCAAAGAATGGTTCATGTCCTAACAGCATCCACATTTCAGTTAGTGTCTGGTAGCTTGTTAGAAATGCAGAATCTCGGACCCCACCCCAAACCTACTGCATCAGAATCTGTATTTTAATGAGCTCCCCTGGTGATTCACTGATTGAGGTGAAATTGGAATATAAACAATGTATCGTTAATGGTCTCTTATTCTCTCTGGGCCTTCTCTCTACATTTCTGCACTAGTCACTACCTATGTTCTCAGCCACCATTCCAAGCAACCACAGTCCTCAGGTTACCCCCCAATATCCCAGAGCTCTGACCTGCAGGGCACATCTCCTGGAGTCACCTGTACAAGACAGGTTTCTATTTGTTAAACCTGTCCTTACCCTCTTCCGTCAAGATTCCCCTGGGCTTTGTCCTACGCTCTCAGGGCCCTGATCTCCAAGGTGACAGTTTTCCAATAAATTAGTCCCTATTAAAATGCATTCATTTAAAAAACTGTTTTAGTTTTCTAGTATATGGCTTTTTGTGGCATGTGAAATGCTTTTTTAAATGAATGCTCAAAAAGACAGAGCATGATTCTATAGTGGAAGAAACAACTAGAAGCCCTGTCAACTATAACAGTGATTCAGTCAGTGTAGAAGCTGCTTATAACTGGATCACACCCAGCCACTTCCTCATCAGTAACTCAGGGTCCCATGGGAGTCTGGGAGCTGATTGCTTCTTGCCTTCCTATGCAATAGAAATCTATCACAGCAAACTCCACTTTGCAGTCCCAAATCAGGAGTAGTTATTTAAGGATAATGGTGACACTGCTTCACTCGGTGACACTGGTTCACTCAATGACACTGACACTCAGGAATAACTGGTTCAAAAGAATGAATTTAATCTCAATTCTTTTCCATTGTCATGTTGCTACCACAAATATTTGTGGAATATTGGCAAATGATAATTTCTTGCTCTGCAGCTCCCAAGGTCCGTTCTGCTACTGTGGCAGTCAAATTGATTGGAAAAACATCTTTTAGCTCAAGTTTTATTTTATTGCCAGGATTTCATTAAGATTCCTCATCATTATCTCCTAGCAGACAATTCACATTCCCACCCCTTCCTGAAGGTTCCCACTGCTGTGGAGCTGAGGGGTGCTTTCCTTTGGGTTGAAGTTAAACATATTCCTCATTATAACTTAAATCAGTTAACTAAAAAAAAAAAGATTAATGCAGAGGTCAAAGGAAATAGTATTTACTTGGGAAACAAATAATTGCAATTTGGGTACACTGAGTCAGAGCAGCCCTGAATAGTATTCCATAAGGCAAGCATAGGAAAGGTTTTTTATAAGGGCCATACCTCTGCATAAATTTGAACAGCCTCATTCATGGCTCTAGGAGAAGGACTGAGCCCAGACGGGCTCAGGAAGGACTGAGCCCAGACGGAATAAAGAAGAGCTGTTCTCTTTGCAAAGCTTTTTGGACAATGCTGAGGGTAGAAAAGCCTCTCTTAAATGGATGTTGCCCTACATCTTTCCAAAAAGGATTTGATGTGTCTGAAAACAAAGAAATCACTGCACACACCTTAGAGAGTTCCCTTTAGAATTCTTCCCTTACCCTCTTTGTAAGTGGGAGTTCAGCCTGTGATGAGACATATCTTTACTCTGGACCATTTCTGCACCTGTGTTCAAAAAATGGGAAGACCTTCATGAAGGATGCCCAAGGCATCTGATGGAAGCTTGAGTCCAGCCCATTGTTGATTCCCTAACACAGCCAGGGATACCTACATTAAATTATTCTTGCTTGACCTGCCTGCTGGGATAGGAGTGAAACATGAATCTCTGTAGATACATTAATAAATCAGATCAAATAAATAAATAAGATCACATAAGCTTTCTCTTCCATTTATTGAATACTAGCCTATGGTCTATAAAGTGACCACAACTTCCTCTTCCCCAAGGGTATTAGATCTCTTAAATGTATTCCCTTAATATCTAAATATGAAATGATAGCTGATCTCTGAAAAACATGATCATGACAGAAAGAAAAATTTTAATATACTAATTAATGAGTATATACACTTACCAGCTATGTCATTTGGATCAAGTTGCTTCAACTCTCTGAGCCTCAATTTCCTCATCTGTTATGTCACACTTAGTATGAGTGATAAAATGTATGGAGAACAACAAACACAATGCCTAAGGCAAAGAAGTCACTCTGGTAATATAAGAGAAACGAATCTTCTCTATGTACCTCTCTCTTAATTCAGAGTTGCTATGGCTTTGTTGTTGGATTTAGAAGTAATGAAAGGAACTGGTAGATAAACCCATTGGGAAGATGTCTTTCTCTCTTAAAAGAGTGCCTTTTTCCCCCAGGTCTGTACTCTCAAGGTCAGTGAGATGCCAGCAAAGCTGTGACTGCACCTAGCTAGCTTGTGCTGCCCTTAGTGACCAGGTTTCTGTGCCCTAAACAAAAGCCAGCTGTCAGCCTTCGCGCTTCATGCCCATTAATGAATCATTTTCACTTTTCTTCACTTGGTCTTAAATATAGGAATGATCCAGAGAAACTAGACGCCTTCATCATGGACAAAGCCCTTCTGGATTATGAAGTGTCAATAGATGCTGACTGCAAACTTCTAACTGTGGGAAAGCCATTTGCCATAGAAGGTACTAATCAGTCACTCCTGATTCACGTTTACCCAGGATATGCTCAGGGTGCCAACCTAGCAAGTCACAAATGCCAAAGGCAAAGAGCTATTCATCTGCCCTTGTTTTCATTTTCAACTCATAAGCACTTAGCTATTACGTTGCTGAAGTTAGAAATTTATTTTTCACCTACTCAACAAACATTTATTTACCTAATTGTTAGGAAAAAATTATTGTTACCCAAATGATGGTGTCTTAGGTATCTGGGAGTGGTAGCTTGGTGTACTAAATGAGGGGATATAATTTTAATTTAATCTGTATTTTCTAACAGCCAAATACTGTAGTGAATATGATGTAAAAACTAGAATGATTACGTTTTATAATTGGAAGGGCCCCAATATTGATTTAATCCATCTTACTTTAATACAAGAAAGCCCAGGAGTGTTACATCACATTTTCACAATTATACAATTAGATGATAATACTGGGGTTAAAATCTAAATCTATGGTTCTTAAATAAGTTTTTTTCCACTAGTTGAAAAATAAGTAGGAAAAAATTTTTATTCTATAGTTTAGTACCTTTTAGGGTTCTAAACAAAACCTTGTTTGGGATCTCAGATTTGCCTTTTTCCATACCGGCAGCAAATTTTTGCTTCCAACTTGATCAACCAATCAATCAAACTTCAGGACCAAAGAAAGACTGCTTAGTCAGTAGCTTCTCTCATTCTGAACAATGGTTGATATATGGAGCAGATAGTTTGAACCAGCAAATTTCACATCTCCCAATTCCCAGCTTCCCTTCCCTGACACTACATGTAGCTCTCAAGACAGCCATGCTCACTTGTCAGAAAACACTTTGGCTTGAAACAGTCCCATGAGAATTCCCAAGTCCTATTTTCAGAAATCTGTACTTTCCTACATGTTAACTAGGGTGCCAAGACTATTCTGATTCCAATTTCCCAATTTCCCAACCACAGTTGGTCTCTCTCTCCCCTAAACACATCAGCAGATTTTTTATTTCAGTCTTTGTTTTTGTGATGAATGAGGATGCTGTTTCTTTGAAACTTCTCCTAGGAGAAATCAGTCTTCTCTTCAGGCAAAGTGACCCCCATGTGAACCAGGAATGATACTCAGGAAGAGAGATAGTTAGCAGTAATGGTCTTCTATTAAGATGACAGTCTGGGATAGCAAAGGCACCAAAAGAAAAGAAAAAACCTAGAAAACCAGAGAACATTTAATATATACCCCCATTTTGATGTAACAGTAGGAAAATTCTCATGTTTTGTGGCATCTGGGGATGGTACATTTTATTTCTGTCCTAGATGCACTGAGTAATTGAGGTCCCTTCTGCCATTAGTAGCTACTAACAATGAATCATTTGTAGAGGGCATAAAAATGAGGGGCTCCACTTTTCTACCTTGATCTTCAGGACACAACCCTATCTTGTCAAAAGACAGTGGTAAGATGGCTTGTTTGCCTCTGCTAGACCCCAGTGCCAGATGCCACACAATTAACTCCCTACTGGTTTCCTGTTTACAGTTCCATCTGTGCTCCTGAGACTTAGTGTCTTGCAGTTCCCAGCCTCTCTAGACACCACATTGTTTTCAAAGGGGATAAACACAAAATGGTGCATGGAAGAGCTCTCCTTGCAAGAGAGCAGAAATACTGCAGATTTTAATTGAGAGAGCATTGTTATCATTGTTGGTTTATTCTCAAAATGAATGAGTTGCAAATCAGAAAATTTAACTCAATACTGCCCCTGCCAACAAGTTCACAACCTAAAACCAGAACTTGGTAAAACACAAAAGGAGTATGCTTATAAGTTGTACACAACAATGTGATAGAAATATTAGTAAAAGTCTTGATTGCTGCATTTTTAAAAGATGTTAATCTCATAGATTTTTAGGGAAATACTTCCCTCAATAAAATTTTTAAAAATATTATATGCTTTCCTTTAGGTTTCTTGAGGTATTAAAATGTGAGCTTTAATTATGAACTGCAAGAGAGCAGAAATACTGCAGATTTTAATTGAGAGAGCATTGTTATCATTGTTGGTTTATTCTCAAAATGAATGGGTTGCAAATCAGAAAATTTAACTCAATACTGCCCCTGCCAACAAGTTCACAACCTAAAACCAGAACTTGGTAAAACACAAAAGGAGTATGCTTATAAGTTGTACACAACAATGTGATAGAAATATTAGTAAAAGTCTTGATTGCTGCATTTTTAAAAGATGTTAATCTCATAGATTTTTAGGGAAATACTTCCCTCAATAAAAATTTTTAAAATATTATATGCTTTCCTTTAGGTTTCTTGAGGTATTAAAATGTGAGCTTTAATTATGA